CAGACCAGGGAACAGAGTTCCAGGGGGAGTTCAAGAAGCTGCTGGCGGAGTCTGGCATCACGCACCGAAAGACCTCCCGCTATCACCCGCAGAGTGATGGGCTGACTGAGAGAGCCGTGCAAACCTTCAAGCGGGGGCTGCGGGCCTACGGGGAGCAGAGGAAGAGGGATTGGGATGAGGAGTTGGACTGGATCGCGGCAGGGTACAGGTTCGGGAAGCGGGCAGCGTTGAAGGATCACTCCCCGTATAGCCTGCTGTTCGGACGAGAGGCAATTCTGCCAGTGGGAGCACCACGAGTATTGACAGATACAGTGACAGCAGGCACGATCAGGAACTGGGTAGCCCTGTCCGAGGTGAGGGCGCGCTACATGCGCTACATGATGCCAGCCGCGTTGGAGAATCTGCACACCGCGCAGCTCAGGGACGCAAGAAGATACGAACAGAGGCAACACAAAGGGAGGGGAAGAACAGCAAAGGATGTCTGTGAAGGACAGGAAGTCTATCTGAAGAGGGCTAAGCAGGACACCCTTGACGTGGGGTTGGGGACCATCCGCTGGAAAGTCAAGGAGGTGCGCCCCTCAGGGGTGCTGGTCTTGGAAAACGACACCGGAGCGCAGCTGAGGGAACATCAGACGAACACTGCAGTGATCAGAGGGACCGGGCCTCAGCGGACTGGTCCTGTGACCCGCGCTCAAGCCGCTCGAGCACGGGCACAGGAGGGGGCAGAGAGTGGCTGAGGCAACCGAAGGAGCTAAGTGACGAAGAGCATGAGGATTAAGGCAGATGATGAAGGTAGAGCTGTATCTCCGACAGCCTACGCTGCTCTGCTCCTCTTGTTTGCTCCCCTGCTCTGCTCCTCTTGTCTGCTCGGCAGTATTTGCCGCATTGCTTCTCTTTCTCGTCCGACCGTGTGTGACTTCCACCAATGTCTGGGTGCCACGTGGCAGGTTATTAGGAACCAACAACATCTCAGGCTCCCTACCGGACAGCATTGGAAGCCTCTCGCTTCTCAGCAACCTGTGAGCTTCCTTTCGGCTCTTCCCTTCTTAGATTTTTAGGCTCACTCCAAACCATTGGTATACTTTATTCAGTTCAGGCCTATCTGCACCTTGCATAAATGTTTCCAGTCCTCGGGAATCTGTGAGCTTTCAGGTGTGTTTGAGTCGACGCACAACACTCCCTGCACCTTGCGTCAATGTTTCCGGTCCTCGGGAATCTGTGAGCTTACTTCTGATCGGAAGCTACGCCTGCTCCTGCTGCCGCAGTCGTGTGCGCTCCTGTTTCAAACCGTGGCGTGGCCTCTCTCTTCCTGACCTCGTTGTAACGAGGTGACTTCTAAGGTCGACTCAGAAGTCTCCGGCTTCCAACTCCTGTGGCCCTCGTTCCTGGGCTCGCACACACGTGCCTCTCCAACCATCCCAACTGAGACCATTTTTCAGGCGGCTCAAAGATCCTCTGGCCTTCGTTCCTGGCGTTCCTGACCTCGCACACGGGCCCCTCTCCAACCATGCCTCACTGCACCCCTCTCAGTCTTCCATTCTCCTATGCTGCCTCTCCTCCCCGCTGACCTCTTTCGTCTGCTTTCTGCCCTCTACCCTTCCTCTCCCTCATTCCCATTTCCCCTCCCCATGAGCTGCAGCGACATGGGTTACAACCAACTCTCAGGCCCCTTTCCCTCAGCCATCGCCAACTTATCTCGCCTCCGCACGCTGTAAGTATCATCTCTGCTCTTGAGTCGTCTCTGCACTTGCGTCCTCTCATATCTCACCTGCGCACGCTGTATGTGCCCTCTCTGCACTTACATCCTCTCAAATCTCGGCTTTGCACACTGTATCCGCTCTGCTGCTCCCAGATCTCTAAGGGCGCGTGTAAATTGATTTCAGGTTCATGAGCCACCCCTTGCTCCCCTGTGCAAGTGTCAAATGAAAAGCCCACACTGCCGCCGCTTGAAGCTTGTCACACTTCTCCTTAGGGACGTGCACGAATCCCATGCACCCGAAGACTCGAAGCATGTACACCAGGGGTTTCTTGCCTCTCCACTTCTCCATAGGGACCCAATGCTGCTCTCGTCATGCTTTCGTCATGCGAAAACTCAAACATTTGAGCTGCGCGCTTGAGTAAATACGTTTTTTCGAACCGGGCTCGGAATCAAGGTGTGTTTTGAGTCGACTCAAAATACGTTTTTTCGAACGGGGCTCGGAATCAAAGCCTGAACATGCGTGCGCACGTTCCAAGTGAACCTGTGTGCCTTTGTTTGTGCACGTGCAACAAATTGGCGACCTGCGAGAAAACTCGCGAATTGCACGAGTGCTTCTGACAAACTCAATATGGATCTCGTCAACCATTAACGAGCCACGAGCCAGTGTTGATGGCCACGAGGGCTATTTGTAACCCTCTCAAAACCGAATCGCGCAACCAGCTGATGTGGCGCGATGTCAAGAACACGTACCAGGTAACAACGTCGCTTACACGCAGCCCGTCGCGTTCGCAGTAGGTTCAACTCTCGTGTCCGAACCCAGCTGGGACACCGTGCATGCAGGCGCCTGGGTCAGAACCACGTAGAGGGCAGCCTACCATCCAACCTGCACCACATGAGACGAGTTCTGAGTCGACTCACCACTTCTCTTATGTCCCCTCTCGCCCCCCTGCATGCAGGCGCCTGGGTCAGAACCACATAGAGGGCAGTCTGCCGTCCAACCTGCAAAGCATGGCCAGCCTCGAGTACATGTGTGTGTGGGGCGAGTAGGGTCCAATGGGGGGCAGGTAGGGTCCAATGGGGGGCGAATCGGGGCGGATGGGGGGCGAACTGGGGGAAGAAGTGGGAGGGGTTGAGGCCGCCATCAACAATACCATCATACCATGTGCAGTGCGTGCACAGTACCATCATACCATGTGCGTGCACATTACCTGCTGCAAGCATCAACCTTCTCAGCATCATAATTCTCTGCACCATCGCACCGCACACCACCACCAGGTACCTAGCGCAGAACAACCTCTCTGGGTCCATCCCTGCAGCAATCGCCAATCTCACTGCCCTTTCCTTCCTGTGAGCCCTTTCCTTCCGGTGAGCCCGTTTCTTCACGTTAATAGTGAAACCCCAGTGGGGTTCATCTGTTATGTGTGTGGCTGCGGAAACGTGTTCAAACGTGCGGAAAACGACCTTCCTCCTACCCAATCAGCCCCATCTGTCTTATGCCCAACTGTGCAACATGATGTGCCCACTCGTGCAACACAATACACATGGTGCCACCATCAGGGGCTTGGGAGGCAATCAGCTCACAGGGCGCATTCCTCCAGCCATCACCCGTCTCACCAATTTAGCCCTCCTGTACGTGCGCTGCTCTTCCACTGCGCTGCTCTTCCACTGCGCTGCTCTTCCACTGCGCTGCTCTTCCACTGCGCTGCTCTTCCACTGCGCTGCTCTTCCACTGCGCTGCTCTTCCACTGCACTTCTCTTCCACCTGCGCTGCTCTGCCACTTACGCCATGTGCTAGTCATTCTGTCAGGGCCTGCATGTGGAGGTTTGATGTGTGGCGCCGTAACTCGCACCGCACACATCTAACCAGAGTCTAGCAGGACTGGTTTGCATGAGAACTCGTTTCAGGGTTTAGTTGTTCACTCCATTTGATTGTTCCCTCTTCATCTATCATCTTTCTTGATCCTACGCCTTCTCTGTCTCGTTTCATGCTCGTTACAGCGACCTTTCATATAACAGCCGCATGGGTCAGCTGGAATGACTGTTGAGAATTCTTAATTGTCTCCTCCATCTCGTTGCATGCTCGCCACAGTGACCTGTCATATGAACAGCCTCATGAGGTCTATCAAAAGACCTCTATCTCGTTGCGTGACCATGGCAGTGACCTGTCATACAACAGCCTCACGGGTCCCATTCCTGAATCCATAGGCGCTCTCTCTTCGCTCACCAGCCTGTGAGTCACTTGTCGTAGCATGTGATGTGATGTGAGTGACCACTGGTTAGCAACTTAACATACTGTTACCACCACTGAGAAACCCTTGGTTACCAATCGGCCATTTACTCAGACTTACCATGTACACACGCTCACCATGTTCACCCGCTTACCATTTACGCCAGCATACCATGAACACCGGCTTACCATGTGATGTAGCCTCGATTGCATGCATCCTCGATCGAATGCATACATCCTCGATCGATTGCATACATCCTTGATACTTGCAAGTGATAGAAGCTAAACAGTTGTGAGAAGTGCTCGTTGTTGTGAGCAGGAATCTAAGGCACAACAACCTCACCGGGTCCATCCCCACCTCCCTTGGCGCTCTTGCCAAAGGCATACTCGTGTATGCTATACGCCATGCCTTGCCATGCCCCATGCCATGCCATGCCATGCCATGCCCCATGCTATGCCATGCCCCATGCCATGCCCCATGCCATGCCCCATGCTATGCCATGCCCCATGCCATGCCATGCCATGCCATTCCATGCCATCCCATGCTATTCATGGTAATCAAGGGCTGATGATGCTTGCGCAACCCATGGGACGATCAATGGCTGGCGTGTGAGATATCAAGTAACAGCAGGCAGTGTAATGCTGTGTAGCTCAAGCTGTGCACGTTTTTGCAGTTTCAACGGCTCCACATGATGCTACACGGCACATTCCACATGCTACACGGCACATTCCACATGCTACACATGCTATTGCCACATGCTACACATGCTATTGCCACATGCTACTTGCATTGCAACTCCAAAGAGACATCACTGGTGCGGTTGTGGAGGTCTAAATGGACTGAAATCTGACTTCTGGGTCAACTCAAAAGTCATGGCATGGCATGGCATGCCATGGAATGGCATGGCATGGCACGGAATGGCATGGCATGGGATGGCATGGAATGGAATGGCATGGCATGGCATGGCATAGCATGGAATGGTATGGCATGGCATGGGCATGGGATTGCATGGAATGGCATGGCTTGGCATTATGCAAACTGTATGTGCATCACTATCCCTGCATGGCAGAGACATGAGTGCCAATCAGCTCTCAGGGTCCATTCCTGACTCCATCACCACCCTCCTCAGCCTCGTTTACATGTCAGTGCCACGTGTCACCACTGCCATGTGTCAACACTGCCACGTATCACCACAGCCATGTGTCACCACTGCCATGTGTCACCACTGCCACGTGTCACCACTGCCACGTGTCACCACTGCCACGTGTCACCACTGCCACGTGTCACCACTGCGTCATATACATACTGCTTCCCTGCCGCGCTGTGCCACTACGAGACATGACCCAGCTGCCATGGATGTCCCCCACCTTCTTCTTCTCTCTTGCTGTCCCCATGCCTCCCTGAGACCCAACACCAACACCTGACCTGAACCACTCTTCTGACTTTTGAGTCGACTCTAAAGTCACCTTCTTGAGAAGTCTCAACAATCCTCCCCCACCCTGCTCTCCCTCCCCACCCTCCCCACCCTCCCACTCTCCCCAACCAGCACCATGAGTAACAACCTCACGAGCTCTGTGCCAGCTTTGAGTCGTCTCAACACTCCTGCCCCACCCTGCTCTCCCTGCCCACCCTCCCCACTCTCCCCACTCTGCCCCCTCTCCCCACCCAGCGCCATGGTTCACAACAACCTCATGGGCTCTGTGATAATGCTTTGTGATAATAAAAGGGTTTTCAGACGTCTCAAAACACTCTGCCCGCCCTGCCTGCCCTCCTCATCCAAACCCCCCCCCTCCTCTTCCCCGCCCAGCGCCATGGGTAACAACAACCTCACGGGCTCTGTGCCAGCTGGCATGGGTCACCTCACCGCCCTCAGCCAGCTGTCAGTGCCGCCCCCCTCGTGTGCTTGCCCTCCCTCTCCCCTCGTGCCGTCTGCCCCACTCTGCACCTTTGCTGCAATGCCTTGTTTTCTTTTTATCATGTTCTGCTACTACATCCATGCTTGCAATAAGCAGCAATTTTGTCTTCTTTCTTCCTGCATGCTTTTATCATTCCTCTGCCTGCTACAGAAACTTTTGAATTGACTCAAAAGTCTGCATTTCTGTCGTCTTTCTCTCCATCCCTCTGCTGCCTGCCGTAGGGACTTGAGGTACACCAGCCTTCAGGGCTCGCTTCCTGCATCTCTAGGCAACCTTACTCAGCTCACAGGCCTGTAAGTAAAGCGTCTCACACTTGATCCACCGGTTTTCAAGCGTCTCACACTTGATCCGCCGGTTTTCAAGCGTCTCACACTTGATCCGCCGGTTTTCAAGCGTCTCACACTTGATCCGCCGGTTTTCAAGCGTCTCACACTTGATCCGCCGGTTTTCAAGCGTCTCACACTTGATCCGCCGGTTTTCAAGCGTCTCACACTTGATCCGCCGGTTTTCAAGCGTCTCACACTTGATCCGCCGGTTTTCAAGCGTCTCACACTTGATCCGCCGGTTTTCAAGCGTCTCACACTTGATCCGCCGGTTTTCAAGCGTCTCACACTTGATCCGCCGGTTTTCAAGCGTCTCACACTTGATCCGCCGGTTTTCAAGCGTCTCACAGGGCGTTCAAGTGTTTCACGCCTGATCCGCCATCTCACCCTGTCGCTGCTCCTTTTTTTTCTTCCCTCATGCATCTCCCCTCGTGCATCTCCCCTCGTGCGTCTTCCACTCCTCCCTTGCCAGCTACGTGGACAACACAGGGTTGCAGTGCGCCACAGGGGGGTGGTGCGAGCTGACTCAGCAGACAACGTCAGCATTCTGCCAGCATTGCTCCTTCTTCTGCTCCAACTGCTCCGTGCAACCAGGTGGGTGTGCAACCAGGTGGGTGTGCAGCCAGGTGGGTGTGCAACCAGGTGGGTGTGCAACCAGGTGGGTGTGCAACCAGGTGGGTGTGTGAGTGCAAGCATGTGAGTGTGTGTTGTGATATGGAACGTCAGACTTTCCTGTCTGACTGCCCATGCACTTTACGCGTATGCATCTAGTCAGATCACATAGTGCCTCGCATGGGTGGCATGGGTGGCATGAGAGGCATGGGTGGCATGGCTTGGGTGCCAACTTGGGTGGCATGGCTTGGGCGGCATGGGTGGCGTTGATGGCGTTCGTGGTAGTGGCATGGGCGGCATGGGTGCCATGGGCAGCATGGGCGGCATGGGCGGCATGGGCGGCATGGGTGCCATGGGCGGCATGGGCGGCATGGGTGCCATGGGCGGCATGGGCGGCATGGGTGCCATGGGCGGCATGGGCGGCATGGGCAGCATGGCTGGCATGGGTGGCATGGGCAGCATGGGCAGCATGGGTGGCATGGGTGGCATGGGCAGCATGGGCAGCATGGGTGGCATGGGCAGCATGGGTGGCATGGGCAGCATGGGCAGTATGGGTGACATGCCAAACAGCAGCCTGTCGGTGCCTTCATGCTGTCACCAGTAACATCTCATCCCACTTCAACTCATCATCCTATCCTTCCGCACCTTTTCACAGCAGCAGATGCACGCACATGGTCTTGATTCTAGCTCCACCCTTCAGCCCTTGTGCCATGGGCGCCTGAATTCCCCTTGTGCCATGGGCGCCTGAATTCCCCTTGTGCCATGGGCGCCTGAATTCCCCTTGTGCCATGGGCGCCTGAATTCCCCTTGTGCCATGGGCGCCTGAATTCCCCTTGTGTCATGGGCGCCTGTATTCCCCTTGTGCCAAGGTTGCCCATTTTCCCCTCCCCATCGAGTTTTGAGGCGCCTCAAGAATTGCAGTGGGTGTCACATTCCCCACCTTTCCCATCCCTCCACCTTTCCACCCCTTCCCCCCTCCATCCGCCCCTTTCCATTTACGCCAACCCCCACTGCAGCTGATGTCTGTGTCGTTTCAGTTCAACCCCTGTACGGGGGGCGCTTGTTTCGCCCACCCCAATGGCACCTACAAACTTTTCACCTTATCCATCCATCTGCCCCTCCATCTGCCCCTCCATCTGCCCCTCCTTGTTTGCCCCCACTGCAGCTGACGTGTGTGCATCGTTTCAGTTCAACCCCTGCGGAGGGGGTGCCTGTGTCTCCCTCCCCAACGGCACCTACACCTGCCAATGCCCTCTCGGCACCACCATCGGGAACAACGGCACCATCGCTCCCACTTGCGTCCTTTGTCCCACATGCCTCAACTGTCAGTAATTCACCTCATCATCCATGCATGAGGTATTGCTTTTCCTTCATCCAAACGCCTCTTACAATTCCGTTGCTACACCTCTTGAGATTCCAGAAGAGCGATTCCAATTCACAGTGTCACTCGTGGGAACTTTTGAGTCGACTCAAAAGTCAACCCACTTCCAATTCACAAGCTTAAAGTCACTCGTGCGAAAGAGCAGCACAGCGAAAATCCTTCAGCACGTCTGCGACTCCGTTGCCATGATCCCAACTGATCCCAACTGAGCACTTCCAATCCCTTCAAGTCATGGTCTCACCATTCTCATCTTCATCATTGTTTGACTTTTGAGGCGCCTCGAAAATCCCTTTGAGTCTTGGTCTCACCATTTTTGTAACATCGTGGTTTGGGTGTCTTTTTTTTTGTCACCTGCTGAAGCTGCTTTTATCTCTCTTGCATGCTCCCATGATCACTCGCACATGGTACATGTTCTATGAGCAACTTACATCTCTACATTCATGCCTTATGAGCGACATACAACTCTACATGTGTGCCTACTGAGCCACGCACACATCAGTTCATACGTTCTTTTGTTTGTGCACTCGCATGTGCCAACCAATGTACTTTCTTTGGTCTCTCCCGTTTCATTCTGTGGGATTGCATGAAGCCACAAGCCCGCCGTCCACCAGTCCGCCGTCCACCAGTCCGCCGCCCACCAGTCCGCCGCCCACCAGCCCGCCGTCCACCAGTCAGCCGTCCACCAGCCCGCCGTCTAACAGTCCACCGTCCACCAGTCCGCCATCCACCAGTCCGCCGTCCACCAGCCCGCCATCCACCTCCCCATCGCCTGCCAGTGCCCCACCTCCTGCTAGTGCATCATCTGGCTCTCCTCCTGGACAGGGGACGGGAGGCAATGCAGCAGCGGCACAAGGAACACCGGCTTCCAGTCAAGCTCGCAGCGGAAAAGGAATGAAAGCTGAGGGCCACATCGTCACTTCATGTGTTCTACTGCCGCTGCTGCAAATCCTCGTGCTTGTATTTGCATGGGGGTGAACCAGGAGCTCTGGATATCAAGTGGATCTAGCTCGACTGATCATCTGAAAATTAGACGTACGTTTTTGTGCTCGTCTGATTTGCCGTGTATTTTGCCTGAATCACAAGACAATCCTGGCTTTTATATCTCTATGCCTCTAGGTGGATAACATATAACATAAAATGCAATGTAGACTTTTCCACATAGACCCAATGGAGTGCTGCTGGAGATTGCATTCTTCTATTCCAATTTTCTGTTTCTGTTGTACTTATAAAACATGTATGATGTACAAACTCTATATCCAAAGCTGTTCAAATCTTCTTGCTGTTCTTTTTGCTCTACAGCCAGCGACGAAGCCCAACGCGGAGGATGAAATCTCGTGGGACTCGTGGGCCGTGGCCAAAAGAAGACGGAGTGCATGTGAAGCCAAGGTGATGGGTTTGGGTTGGGCTGGGGGGAAATGATTTGATGTGACTGAGGTGATGTGAAAATGCGCAGGTAGGAGTCAGTTGCAAGGATGTGGTGGCCGTTGCATGGGCGATTTGTTTGTATCGCGCACGGTTGTCCGTTTCATAATGTTGCAAGGATACACACGGTGAATAGTGTATGTTGCATGAGCAGAAAGCTACAGTTAGCATTGACGCCGTTGTCCCATCTGTTGGATTCGGCGGGAGGGGCCCAGATTGCTGCTTTGTTGAGGTGTCCTGTCTACGGGGGCTTGTGTTGTTTGTGATGTGAACTGTGCACTGCGCCTTGTAGGGCACCCAACCAGGTCTGTAGAAGCAAGGGCATTTAGCCTTAATGCCCTGTACACTCCAGGTTTCTTTCTCAGAAGCTCGACTGTTTCAAGTGTTCGCATGGCACCCGCGACCGTTAGGGCTCAAACTGGGCCTCTCCCTGAGTCTAGTTCTGGTTTCTGTTTCGAGGACATCCCCCCCAAACATTCAGCGCCCCCCTCCCCCTTACTCGTATGGTTTCGCCAACTATGACCAATGTATAATAAAAGCAGGTGGCAGTTACGACTGCCAATGCTTTGGATACCTTTTTATAGTATATCATTGCATTTAAAAAAAAAAAAGAGAGGCCGTAGCTCGTAGATGAGTAGAAAGCATGCAATACCAGCTGCTAAGTAACAGGTTGCCCCACCTTTGTACATGAGGAAGGTACACTTTCCTTGGAAACCTGTTTTAAAGTTTCGAATTTGGCCTGCGCCCGTGAAAATCGGGGCCAGATTTTGAGCAGCTCCGGACTCAACCGGGGCCTTCGACAGGCCTGCACCCAAACCAAGGCGCTGGTAGGAAAGGATCTGCTCCGTCCACTCCCTCTCAGTTTCAGATTTTATTTCGCTTCAATATGAAACTGACGCGGACTTGCTTGACCGTGCTCGATGTTGATCCAAGGACGGTGTGCTGTTGTTGACGTGGCGGCTTCTTGTTATCAATAACTTTCAGCCTCGTCGCAACCACGGGGTGTTGGGTGATACAGTATATTGCACTGCCTGCGTCAGTGGGCAGTGCAATGGTTTCCTCTTTTTATTATTCCTTGAACTCGTACTTTAAAACCCCAAATTGCCTAACGTTATTGATTTTCTAAAATATATCAATGTGAAATATGCTAGGGTAGGCATGAATCGATACTGGGTGCGTTAGCATAGGAAAGCGCGTGTTCCTAAAAATGCTGCCGCGCTTCGAAGGAGCAAAAGGTGTGGATGATGTTGGATGGCTCGAATTTGCACAAGGCGAGGGCTGGGCTGGGACCGGGAACGGAACTCCCAAAGCAAGCACCATAGGCGACGATGATTTGAGATACAGTAAAAGCAAGAAAGGACGACCCTCTCGATCAGTAACGAGCAGGGCATGACAAATTGGTTACTAACACTGTAGTGTAACGAGATGGCGGCGTGCCGTGGCGTTACTACAGTTGTTTTTCGTTTCAAGAGCACCAGGTAGGTGGATGGCATGTGCGTAAAACGAGTTTTAGTTGTTTCGCCAAGTTCGCCCTTGTCGCCACGGGCAAAAATGTGACAGTAACATGAAATTGCAACGTGAATCAAGTCAAGGGTTTTAATTATGTAACCGGGTTAGCTTTTCTGATGACGGGCAACCGTTGTTGTTTATGTACTGTAGATGTTTTTCTTCCTCAACTTGGTGACTGTACCCCGAAATCGGCACAATGGTCAATTTAGTCACTCACGGGCAAAACGTTCGCGAGTGACTAAATTTCTAATTGTGGCAGCAAATGTTTTGTGATAGGCTGAGCATCGACTGTACAACAAAGTTGCGCTGTGCGTCACTGTGAAAATGACAGGGCAGGGCAGGGCCCACTCCGTTACGTCGCTGATTGCGTGCGATGCGATGCATCATCCTCTTCTGCCATACAGGATCTCGCTGCTCGATTGCTCGCTCACAGAGCGTCAGCTCAGGCAAGCTCCCTTAGTCCACCTCTTCCAGTAGAGCTCCTTTTTGAGGTGCGTGTGCGTGAGTCGTGGCTCGTGAGTCGTGACCCTGTTTGCCATCGCCCTGCTGGGCTACTACACACCTGGCCTCATTTAGATCCCAAAAGCCACTTCCTAGAGGCTCACTCAACCCCCATTCCAATCACAGCATTTCTCATGGGCGGCAGGCCCGGCTTGAGGCGCTTCACGACAGCGAAAGACATGGACCCACACACCCGTGGCGGTTATTGTAGTCCCACATGACCATCAGCATCAGAGCTTCTGCTAGGAACGTGGCATCGACAACAATGTCCTCTCGTGTGGTTCTAGGACTCGCAAACGGACCAGTTTTTCGCCGCATGATTATAGTCCTACGACTCGGTATTTGTAGTACGGAACATCCTCTAGGACCAGCCAGTGGCTAAGCACGGTTCAGCCCGTCATCCAAATAACTACATCATCCTCCCGGGGTCAGATTCGGCTTGCGGCATCCTTCCATCAATCTTACGCCCCTCACAATCGAAATGAGCGACCGTTCGTCTTTTTCCGACGAAGCAACTCTTACTACTAACACAGAGAACATGCGAGCATCCTATCTTCCTCCGGAAGTAGTGTCGGCGATGGAGGTGGAGGAGCATCCTGAGCGCGACGCGAACGACGAGCTTCTATTAAAGCCTGAGCCAGAAGAGCTCGGCCCTGTCGGTCGCGACGTTGACGGCGGAGATCTTTCCAAGTCGCCTTCGCGGCGGCGGAAATCCCGAGAATGTTTAAGCGGAAGTCCAAGCCCTCTCGAGGGCCCTGCTGCTGACTCAGCAGCAAAGGCAAGGCCAGACTCGAGCCCGCCGTTAAGTCCGGCTGAAGAGTCCTGTCAAGCGGTGGAGCAGCCTGGCAGGCCGGACGATTTCAGTGAGCGTCGTCAGAGCGGCGTGTCCGCGGGAGAACCTCAGCCGCCAGGAACGGCGGGAGTGGTGGAGATAGGTCCTACGGCTCTGCTGGCGACAATGGGACAACCACCAATGTCCCAGTATGTCGGGCTCGTGCTTGCGCATCTCGATTCTTGTGCTCCGTTCGTGGAATTTCGCTGCGCAAAACGGCACTGTAAATGCATCCGGCCGGCGCGACGCAAGCCCTACTACTAGAAGTTTGAACAACCCCTAACCCCGCGTTTACTTCTGCCTCCAATCATTGACAGACGTCGCGCGGCGAGGCAACGGCTGGCTCTGCTGAAGAGGCGGATACCTCGCGACGGGTACATGTGGCTCAAGTACGGGCAGAAGCAGCTCACGGGCGGAACTCACGGCAGGTGAGCAGTTAGTAACTCAAGTACGGTACTGACGGGTGTGAAGGGCGTTGTTCCAGGTTTCAACGTTGCTGAGACGAGGGTCTTTTTAGTTACAGCTTTCCAGCTCGAAGGATGGATGACTCGCCACGGGATTGGGTTGGAGTGAGGGGTGTGTCGTGAACACCAAGGTTCTGGTTTCCGGTTCGCTAAAGTTTCGGCCCGCCGCGAATCCCCCACAGTTGCTTGGTTTGTTGGAAATAGCTGTCCGAAAATCCCGTTGGCGACAGGTTCGTAACTCGGCGTGGTTTTAAAACCAATGTACACGCCCTCAGTGCAAACGATGAGAAACCCTAGTTTTGTGAACTGGGCCGTCTCGGTTTTGTCAGTTTCGAGTTTCTTCCAGCGACTCATATCTTGCATTCTGTCCCTGTTTCCCATGTTCTCCGCCTCATGTTCCTCTATCAGGCACTACTATCGCTGTAGTCACTTTCGCCAACCAACCGAGTGTCGCGCGCGTCGCGTGGTCGATTTCCACAAGCACGACTCCAAGTTCCCACTCCGAATCTCCTTCTTCGGCGAACACAACCATCCGCCGCCGCTTCACCGCCCGCCGCAACCACTCGCAGCACCGCAGCAGAACCCTTCCGCCGCTGCTGCGCAGCCGGCTTCCGCAAGCGTGACCGTCGCACAGGCGTCTTCCGCTGGTGCATCCGCCCCCAGAAGCAGCCGCCACGCCGCGGATCGCCTCAGGCTCTCCCTGCCCGATGACGTCATCGGATCCACGCTGGCAGGCGGAGCTTCTGCCGCTTCTGCAGGCGGAGCTTCCGCCGCTTTTGCTGGCGGAGGCGGAAGCGGAGCGCGTGCTGCTGCGGCTGGATTTCAGCCTGGAGGCGGAGGCGGAGCGGGAGAGGGGGGAATTCAGGTGGGAATTCACGCAGGCCTCGGGGGAAGGCTGCCATACAGTCTAGCGGAACTTGAGGTTCTCGCTGCAGTTCTCCTTGAAGCCGCCGCCACGTCCGCCGCTGCAGGCAGTGCAAACGCGCCACTGGAGGGTTCGAGAGGCAGAGCTGACGCCACCGCCGCCGCTACCAATGCTGCCACTGCCACCACCTATCAAAGGGTGAGCGTTAACGAGCGCGCTTGTGCGTCAAGCGTTGGCGGTGGCAACGGTGGCGGCAGCATCGGTGGTAGCAGGAGCAGGGCGGTCGCAGCAGAGAGGGAGCATCAGCTTCTGGAATCGCTAGTCAACCTGCTGACGTCACCTGTGCCGTCACCGGGTTCCGGATCCGCCTCCCTCACCCCACGCCCTTCGTCTGCTCCCTCTCCTCGGGAACTCCACTCTCCCATGCAGACAGGCGCTCTGCTCTCCCCAGCATCGGCCGTTGCTGCGGTGTACCTTCACTGCGCCTCCTACCCGTCCTACCGCTCCTCTACTGCCACGTCACCCTCCAGCATGACGTCAGCCTCTGGGTCAATGCAATTCTCTCCACATGCTACAGGGCCTACTGTTCACACAGGGACACGATTTGGCTTACCATCCGCCTCCCCTGGTACAGGTGCGCCTTCCGCCACTGCAGCAAGCCAGCAGGGTCCCTCCTCCGCGCAGAGCCAGCAGCAGCTGGCGGCGGCAGCCATTCTCGCGCACCTGCTGGCCGCGCAGGCGCGGCAAAGCGCCTCCCCGAGAACCCCCAACCCCGTGCATGAAGCACACGGGGCAGCGCCAGCACCGCGGCAAGTGCGAGAAACACAAGGGGCGGCACCAGCACCGCGCTTTCTCCATGAGGCGCAAGGGAGAATGCACCAGCCGCACGTGGCTATGCAGCAGCCTTTGAATGTGGGTCAGGGTGGGTCGGTCTCCCCTCCCCGCCCTGCTCTTTCCTGCCCACCCGAGGGCCGACTTCCCGCCCCTCCGCCACTGTTCATCCCCCGCCCTGCCTCCTCCCCTGCCGAGTATTTCTCCGCCTCTGCTGCCATCTCCTCGCCACGTGGCACGAGTGTGAACTGCCGAGTCAGCACCTGGCCGCCAGCTCAGGAGCAGCAGGGCTCCCAGCCGTGGGCTGCGGGTCAGGGGTTTGGGGGTTGTGGAACAGCGTTGGATGGTGGGATGGGGGATGCGGAGCCGTGGCAGGGGGAAGGGGAGGGGATGGCGGCGGAAGAGGGAGGGGTGGCATGGAGTATGATGGAGGAGGACTGTGATGATGCTGGGGAGTTGCAGTTGCTGCAGCTTCAGGAGCTGCATCAGCTGCTAAAGAGGCAGGGAGAGCGGAGACATAAACAGAAACACGAACAGGAACGACTACAGCAGCAGCAGCAGCAGCAGCAGCAGCAGCAGCAGCAGCAGCAGCAGCAGCAGCAGCAGCAGCAGCAGCATCAACAACATAATCAAGACCACCAGCTTCAGCAGCAGCAGCAGCAGCAGCAGCGGCAGCAGCAGCGGCAGCAGCAGTGGAGGCGGCAGCAGTTGCTACTACAACACCTGGAAGCGCAGCTGGATCCGTTCCCACAGCAGCAGCAGGGGCAGGCAGAAGCACCCGTGACGCCATGCACTGACGACCCTGGAGCAGCCCTCACCCCCTCCTCCTTCACTGCATCCGCATCCTCCCCGGCCATCTCCCCTGCTGGCTTGACCCCTGGACCATCCTCTTCTCCTGCTTTAACCCCCTCTTCCCGGTACCCCTCCGCCCTAACCCCCTCGGCTCTGACCCCCTCCGGCCTGACCCCGTGTGTTTTGAACCCGTCTGCCCTGACCCCGTCGTCGCAGCACTACCGCGAGCCGCCCTTCTCGGAGTTCCTGCGCCTGCCTGACATGAGCACCATCCAGGCCAGCCGCGCTGCCCGCCTCTCAGGCCATGCTCGCAGCAACAGCGGTGGCTTTGGCGGCCAGCCGCCGCAGCAGCAGCAGCAGCAGCAGCCGCTGCACCAGCAACAGCAGCAGAACCAGAACCAGAACCAGAACCAGAACCAGAACCAGAACCAGAACCAGAACCAGAACCAGAACCAGAACCAGAACCAGAACCAGAACCAGCAGCACCAGCACCAGCAGCAGCAGCAGCAGCAGCAGCAGCAGCAGCAGCAGCAGCAGCAGCAGCAGCAGCAGCAGCAGCAGCAGCAGCAGCAGCAGCAGCAGCAGCAGCAGCAGCAGCAACAGCAGCAGCAGCAGCAGCAGCAGCAGCAGCAGCAGCAGCAGCAGCAGCAGCAGCAGCAGCAGCAGCAGCAGCAGCAGCATCAGCCTGCTAGCGGCTCACGGCGTTCTCATGGGCGTACGTTAAGTGCACCACACCCACAGGCATTACTTCCCGGTGAAACAGCCATCAGACCCAGCAGCGGTTCCACAGCTTCCCGCCCGATCTCGCCTCTTGCTCCCGCCTCTTCCTCCAGGCCGTTATCGCCGCTGTCTCAGCTCAGCACGTTCCGCCTGCCGTCCGCGCACCAGAAGCCTCCAGTGGCGGGGAATAAGAGGCCAGGCGATGCCGCGTCGCAGCAGCAGCTGCCCCCGCCCCGGCGCATGTCGCGGTCGGTCACAGCGCCTGCTGCATCTTCTCCAGCTGATGCAGCAGCAGCAGCAGCAGCAGTAGAAGCAGGAGGTGCTGCTGCCGCAGCAGCACCACCGCTGGCATCGCCGTCAGGCATGCAGCCCCCTCAAGCGCAACCAAAGATGTTGATTTCCGAGGATAACTCAGGTGCTCTGCTCGTTTCGTCCCCGTTGCTACCATTGGCTTCCACGGCTGACGCGAGTGGGGTTGGATTCGGAAGTGGGACCTTTCAGCTCTCTGACTCCAGTGTAATCGGTGCCAGTATGAGCGCAGAAGCAGCTTTCTCCAAGCTCCAGAGGCAGCTGCAGGAACAGGCTAAAACTGGCAACCTTTTTGCTTTCAGTAATGGATCAGCTTCAGCAGCAGCCGGTGGGGTGAGCAGGCAGCAGCACACTGCCACACATGTGAGCCCCTTTCTGGTTTCTGAGAGGCATAGAGGGACAGAGAGGGAAGCTGCTGGGGCTGGGGAGGGTAGTGTGTTGGTGCCGCAACCAGGAGTGCACCTTGCGGACCCAGGGACAGGAACAGCAGGAGGAGCAGCAGTATCATCAGCAGCAGCGTCTGCACTGTCCGGCTTGCTGCAGCAGGGGGATCTGACGAAGCTCATTGAGGCGCTATCACATGTAAAGGCGAGTGATGAGCAAGGCGGCAGGGAGCCATGGGTGACCACTGGAAGAAATCAGGCCCAGTCAGTCAATGCTGGCTCGGGACCTGCTTTTCCTCCAATGGAAACAGGCAGGGCGAATGGGGCAGGATCTAGCTGCTTGTTTAATAATCAGTCTGGCTCTTATGCTGCAGATGCTGCGTCAGGTGGCGAGGGAAACTTCCGGTTTGCATTTTCCGACCTGCCGAGTGTTTTTCACCACAGCCCTGATTCGCTGCAGAAACAGATTCAGGATGCCATGGATCAGCAGGAGCTGGATGCGGCCATGCTTGCTGCTGTCACTGCGGGAACCGTAGGCGCATCTGCGGGTGCAGGTTCTGCTGGGGAGATTACCATGGGCGAGAATGGGTGTAGTTTTTACGGGAGCAGCCAATCAGCTTCGCATTCGCAGTCAGGTGGATTTGGATGTGATGTTGGCACTGGGCAGCAGCAACATACATCTTGTGAAGAGCAGAATGGAGGCAGTTAGAATGCGCTGGCGATGATGGCGTTGCTGAGAACCTTGACAGACCCAGATGACCACATGACTCTAGATGGTTGATCACTGCCCGACACTGGTGGTTGATCACTTACTGCCCGGCGCTAAATGGCAGGTAATTGGTTGATTATTGCCCTGGATCACCTATTATTGGCAGTGGGTACTTTCAGCACTTGTACAGTTGTAACTGGTAGGTAATTGCTACTTGTATTTTTTTGCCTGCAAAACAAGCCATTATGGAAAACTTGCTGATGAATGTAACGAACACCTTGGCCTGCACATAGCATTGTTACTGGAGAGAATCCTTCCTCGCTTTGCTTACCATACAATCCCCAAGATTGCTGTTGATTGCCTGGATAAATTGTTCTTTTAGTCATTTGGTGGATACTAGCTGGTGAAAAGTCTGAGAAAATGCATCTTCCTTTACCTGCACAATCTAAGCCAGTTTCTTACAAACCAGCCAGCACAGAAATGTACTGCATTACCTTACATGGTTGAATCGGACTCTTGACTGGATGAAAGTACAAATGAAAAGCGGGTTGAGGGAGGAGGGCCCACAGAGTGAAGTGTCTTAGAATGCCCTCAAGCGGATACTGTAACCAAGCTCCTTTCCGGTCAGACAAACATAATCTGTAGACAAGCTTTTATGAGAAACAATGAATCAGGAGACTATGAGGCAACTGGCAAGCCAGTCGCCAGCAGTTGCTTTAGAATCTGGAGCTAGCACAGATTTTCCTATAATCCCTCTCGTTTGGCAACACAGGAGCTAGCACTGCACATACCACGAGCCTCCACGGGTCTGCTCTGGAGGGAGCATACGACAGAGGCATTAGCGCTTGCTCTTGTCCCGTCTCCGCCGCTTCTTCTGCTTGTGTTTGTTCATCTTCTTCCTCCGTTTCCGCTTCACGCTGCTGGCCAGTAGCGGCACCGCGCTCCCATTCCCTGGACTCTCGTGCAGACCGTCTCTCACGCGAGCAGCGGAAGGAACGGAAAGAGCTGGAATGCTAAAAGAAATGGCCGAGGAATCTGGCACCGGAAAACCCAGAGGAGAGAGTCTTGCAGCAGAACCAGGTGAAGCATATATCCACCAGCTCGGTGAGTTTCGAACAGGCTGATATGAAACTAAGGCACTGCCAGAATCGAACTTGAGACCTCCTTGTAACGAATCGTTCCTAATGGTCCGTTCCTGCCAGAGATCACGCAATCGGACGGCGGAGAACCCGCTGCGATGAAGATCGGGTTGGTAAGTTCCCAATCGTTCTAAATCAGACGCACAAGCTGCAAAGGCGCGCTGATTCCTCGCAGCTGCTTCGCCTACGGTTTGAACGCGTCGGCACGACGAAGACCATCGTAATAGCAGCTGACCTAAGGCAATGGCGGGTCTTCGTCCGCGCTCCATTGCGACGAGTGCTAACGAGTCAGGGGAACTACATAGTAGGATGAAACAGAAAATGACACGAGCGTGAAATGGCCTGGCGGGGCTAGGAGGAAATCGCTGGATGACTCCTCTAGTGGAGAAACGCAATAATTAAGTAATTTGTAAGGAAAATTCCTTTTCCTTACTTCTCGTCCCCGCTCAGCGCGTACACCACTATAGCACCACAGTCAGCACCATTACCACTCGCAACTCTCGCATCGACAATCCTCCCGCGACCTTCGCACGTCGCACCTCGACCTCACGGCTCGGCGGGTAACCGGCGCTCCGGGCCTCCGCTTCGACATTTTCTCCAACCTCAGTTCCAGGCCCGTCGCGCGACAACAACAGTCCATTACCGTTACCACTGTAGTTTCGCTATATATTCTTCGCTCATGCCTTCGCTCATTGTACTCTTGCTTCGATAGTGCAATTCTCGCTCGCTCACTCAATTGCACTCGTAACACTTGGCATCAGAGCCTACGATCTCTTCTCGAGCCGCACCCACACCTTCGCTTCCCCACTATCTCAAATTTTTTTTGGGGGGGGGGGGGGGGGGGGGGGGT